CACTTGTGATCTAGGTTGATTCCCAGGATCTGGTTTCATCCCCAGCTCAGCTCGATGGTCCCAGCTGGGTTGGTTACTTCTCCTTTCGCGTGAGGGTCTTTGGACCGGGCCCCATACAGCCCCTGCAAGCCTGCATTCTTGTCAAAGTGCATTTGGACCCTTAGGCTAAAACCAAACATGGCGGCAGGTTTCAGGGTTCCCTCTAGATCCCCTTGATGGTTTTAAACATCAGGTGAGCTTCCGTTTGAAGTGTGGTTGAAGGAAAGATATGTTTGGAATGGCCAGTCGACTTGGGTCAGAGCGTTTGTCGTTTATTCCCTTGCTTAGGATATTCATTTTGAGCGCTTCAGGAGGATCAGGGTTGCTGCGAGTCTTCAACCGACTGAGGGTCAGATGCGGATGGACGAAATCCAGCAGCACCAGTTTGAAACCACGGGAACCCATGGCTTGTTTGGCATTTACACGGGAATCGAATCATTCCAGGGTTTCTCAGGTGGTGCGAAATGGAGTTCGTCCATCCACAGCATGGTGCATTCTGGACCCTGGTGCCGCCAAAGAAGCCGCCAAGCGCCGTTTTTTTGCGAAGAGATCCGCGTGGATGTTGGTTTTCCCTGCCCGGATGTGGGTTGGCAAAGACTCCTTTGAACATGGCTTTTTATGTTTGCATGTTGCAGTTTGAATTTGCCCCCTGCGAGGTTTTTGCCGTGTTTTTTTTTGGCCTGGGCCTCTGCAAGAGTCAGTCGAGCAGGCCCCAACAATGCCAGGACCCAAGCATCTCAGTGCTCCAGCGGGCGCTGTCGCCGCTGGAGATGACACGAAGCCTGGGCTTGCAGGCTGGGGCTGCGAACAACCTGCGCCCCTAACCGGCGGACGCCCTAATGCCCCACAGACAGCCACTGCTGCCTTTTCTTTGCAGTGGTTTCACGATTTCGGGGGTCCTATTCTTATTTGAGACCAAACCCATGTAGGGGAACAAGGGGATACCTTGAAATGCAGTATGTGGGGAATTCGGAGTCCACCCCACAGACCACCCGGCACCCAAAGATCGGTCGAGGACTCTCCTGGTTGGCACTTCCTTCTGGGTTCCATCATTGTTTGCAGAAGGAGGCCTATTTTTTCAGACACGCAGTGAATCGCTTCCCATGACTTTTGTGTTTGAAGGGGGTTCCCTTTGTCCCCCAGTAGTGCCCTTTTGCCGTGTTTGGGGGGCAGGGTGCCCCTACTGAAATAGACTACAGAAAAAAGTTGGTACCCTTATTCTAACCTCTCTACTGGAGGACCTAGACATGCTACAAGCAAAAAGCGCGCCTTGCTTCCGAAGGCCTCGGCCTTCTTTGTGTTCGGTGTCCGCGGTTTTTTTAAAGCGGAGGCCCGACGCCCAGCCCAAGACTATCACGTCGGTGTTTGGATGGTCCCCGAATGCCGCTGGTTGAGGTTGAGGCGGTTTTCTGGGCTGCTTCAAATTACCGATGCAGATATTGAAAGCTGCTGGGGTTCTAAATGGGTGTACGCCTCTTTTTAGGGGACTTCCCAAACGGGTGGTTTCCCGTTGGTTTCCTTTACAACCGCCAACACAGGGGAACCCAAAACAAGGACAAACCTAGGTTTTTGAAGGTTATAAGGGACTCCGCCTTTTCAATTCTTGAAGGGTAGACCAGTTTAATCCCGGGTTTTAATTATCACTCACTTGACCAAATGGATCTGGCTAGAAGAGTAAACCAACAATCCGTGGAGTTTGAATCCCATTTCTAGAAGAAGCGTTTGGCCACGTAGGTTCCATCAGGGGTTGCCTCCAAAGCACACGCATGTTTCTGAATTACAAGACTGTTGGCCCATTGCCAAACACCAGTTCTGCACCCTGCTGCCCTCATACGCGCCTTGGTCTCAAGCTTTCGGAGTTGGCGCAGGACCGGCACCGCCTGAGCCACTTCTTCGGCAAAGGCGGCCAGCCTTCAGCCGTGCTCAGCGCCATCGTCGCTGAGGCGGAAGCCTTTGCCAGGAGCCGAAGGGCGGGCTGAGGGGCCGCATCGTCTCACTCGGGAAGTCGAAAGGTCGCCGCAGGAGACGACGTACACCAAGAAGGAGTATTTCTTTTTTTTGGGGAACCTCCCCAAAATGGTGGGATTCCCTTAAAAACCTAACCAATGAAAGGGTGCCCTCAAGAAAGGGACACCCATAGGGTAGGTGAGCAGTAGTTTTCCTTTTGGCGTTCAAAGCGTGGTTCCCTTGGCTGCCTGCTGGACGGGAAAGGGAATCACTGAGCATCAGTTATCATTCCAATAGGCACAGGTAGCACACATTTGGAGCTTTCCCATGAAATCGGTGCCAATCGAAGCAGCATACGGCATGCATCCGTTGGGTTTGGATCATGGGGTCGCTTGGAACTCCCGGGTTGCCCGCCTGCGGCTTTCCCCCGCTTTTTCAGGCAAGCGCTGGAAATTCCTTGTGCTCACTGATGGTTACTCGCTATGCAGGGGACCAGTTTGTAGCTGATTCGCTTTCAAAAGCAAAGGACAGCTATGTGCGTAGCATCCTAAACAAACCCACTGGTTCGAATCCGTTTAGAGTCACCCGATTTGGCCGCCTTTCGGTAAATGGGGTTGTAGACCTCCCACTTCTAGCCAAAGCATTTGGCTCTCGGCGTCCAAGGGTCCACTGTTGCGCAGTGCTTCTCGGACGTATCTCTACTAAGGGACTACACTAAGGAATGAACCTTGAAATACGACGGACCATACTAAGGGGAATCCTTTAAAAACTAGAAGGAATCGGGTTTCTGCACCAAAACGAGGAACCACCCATGGGTATGGTCGGGATGAATTCAATCCTACGGCCCGGACGATGTGGAGGTTTGGTTTAGGTGGGTGTAGGATTGGCTGTCAGTTTAGAGTTGGTTTAGGCTTTGGGGCTAGAATTATTTTCAGGTTGGTGCCTGCATATACATATGCACATATGTACATGTGTACACATATATATATATATAGCTTATGTATCGAATATATATATATATATATATATATACACACACACGTTTTCGAGTTAGTTTCAGGTTTGTTTTGCCAGGTTGAAGCTTGGTTTCGCGTTGGCTTGGGCTTCTGTGGCGCCAGGAAGTGCGAAGACGAGCAGGAGATCTCACAAAGTGACTGGGCTACCTGCTATCGCTCGCTCCCATCCCAGCCCTCGGACAGTGACTCGGTCGCGTTTGGCAAGTGTCTTTTGGAAAACCACTAATGTTAACCCCGGACTAATAAACCCCTGGTTGATTTTGATTGGGGGGTGTCCCCTTTCAGTGGGGATTCAGATCACTTTTGGAGGGAACACCCCTGATAATGGGACGGGCGTATTAATCCTGGGTCAACATTACATCGCGAAGCAGCTTTTTACTCTTGAACCTTGGTGAGTGCCTTTAACCACCTGTAACCACCTTGAACCTTTAACAAAGCCTGTCAACCTGTTTTAGCTTTCTACTATTTTTTGACCAGTGTCTCTTTCCAGCCCTTACTGGCAAACAGGTGGACAGCCCCCAAACATCGTGTCCGGTCCGCTACCTGGTTTCATGGAGGGTTACACTTAGGCCTATGTTTAAATCGGCATTCCAATGTTGGCGATCCCAATCATAACTAGGTGCGGCTGCCTTTCTTATGTTTACATATTTTTCTTTGATTGATTCAGTTGATGAGTTTGATTATGTACTCGGTTTTCGGGTGTAGTCCGAATTTCCATCAGTCAGTACGTACCAAGGAGATTTCGACCTGGTCCGGAAGGTGCTGTTTGGAGAGCCCGGGTCGTGAAAAGGAGCGTGCTCGAATCGGTGGCCGAGGTTCTTTTGCCTTTTTGTCGCGTGTTTTGGTTGTCTGGTCTCCAGTCGGGTTTCTGGTTCTTTGGTATTGCTTTTAAGATTGGCAACACAGTTGTTCTTCCCATAACAAGCAGGAAGTCGTGTTCTTGGTTCTTTGGTGTTTCTTTTAAGATCGGCCAACGGAACGAAGGTTTGTTTGCCCATGACCAGGCACGTTTAGAAAACGAGCACGCCCGGCAGGAAGTTGTTTGACAACTTGATTCAATTTGCCGGTAAGTGAATTATGTATGGATAGTTGTTTGAAGTTTACCCTGTTTGACACCAATGTAGAAACCCACATTGTATCTCTTTTTTTTTCAATTAACCCTCTTTTTGTAAACAAAAACTTCTTTTTTGGTTTCTATGAGGCAAATTGCAGGTGTCTTTTGTCCCAGACAAAGGGGAAGGTTCCTTCAGCCACAACTTCCACATTCTGGGCGGTCGAAATTCTCCCATGGAAATCCTCTGGAGGTCTGAGAAAATATGTAATACTGTGGACGGTTGCGAAATCCACTTCGCGCTAGCAATGAAACCATGGTTGAAGCCGTTGTTTGTTGGCATTTGCAATCCAGGGTTTCTGAGGTGGTGCAGGATTTCGTCCATCCAAGTATGGTGGTTTCGGAGTCCCACAACCCCATGCCAACAATTTATGACGCTTTGCTTTCTGTCCTCAGAGTCGTCTTATAATTTGGCTTTGTATTCCCCTTTGACACCGCGGCTTCAGAGGCAGTGTCCAAAAAGCACAGGTTTGACCACCCCAATAACCCATAACTGTTTACTGAGTTTACTGGCTGGTGGCTGGAAGGGAGCAAGGAGTTGCGGAGCCAAGGAAATCCAAATTCTGCCTTAGAAAAAGCCTTGCGCAGCTGACCAGTCGTTTCGCTTTCCCAAAAGCAAAACAACAACATGCAGGAAGTGGTCCCTGAATGTTTGGGGGAATAGACGGGCCCAACAAAAACATCCAACATTCTCTGTGATTCCTGACTTAGTTTGGTTTAAAGTATCCCCCCCCCCAGCCCGACACACACGCACGCACACACACACACACACCCATACTCACCCCCCCTCCCCACCCCCCCATGAATTTGTGTTTTGGTGTCGTCCTTTGTATCCCGATGATTTTTCCGGAAGCCGCGGAAGGGCTCTCTTCCTGGTGACCTGCCAGGCCACGCCCACCGTGAGGCCTGGGCAGTTGGAGAGTCCCGGCGGGAGATTTCCGGGGAATCCAGGGGAATCGCCACAGAGGTTTGAGGATACCAAAAATGGCCCTGCATTGTTTTGAGGGTGCTCTTTTTTGACCTTGGCGTTTCTGGGGAAGCCCAAATCAAGGGAACAAACACTTTTAGTTTGGGGGTCCAACTCCATTGAGATACCAAATAGAATTGGCTACCCTTAGGGGACACGCACTCCCCAAGTGCGAAGTCTCTGGACTTCCTGTTTGTGCCTTTTTACCAGCGGTTGTTTGGACTTCCAATCCGCTGGTTAAACAGAGGAGAACCTCCCCAGCAGCAGTTGGAAGGACTGAACATGCCACTGCAAGGGACCCGGGCGAGAAATTCGAGCTATGGGAAGAAGGACACCGTTCACCATTTCTCGAGCGAAACGGAGCCGGGTAGCGGCGAAACTGGTTTAAGATCCAGCTCCAGTTTTTGTTTTCTTCTCGAAGGGGAGGTGCGTCACACCCGCGGGGTCGCAACGCCAACTCCCAGCCCCTCCTGTCAAGTTGTTTTTAGGCCCATGGTTTAAACCACTGGGCAACCCAAACGAAGACCGCACGGCTGACTGCAGGGCGGGGTTGTGGGCGGCGAGCCTTGCTGAGACGCAGAGGGCTGCAGAGTTGCAGGAGAAGGTACGGCCAGGGTCTGAGCATCTGTGTTTTTGAGTTGGGAATGGTTCTGTTTCGGTTTTTAAGGGAATCCAAGAGGAAACCATGGAGCGGATGCTTTAACCAAGACCCGTGCAGTATGTGTGACCCGTCCTCATGATGTTTGTCACCCAGAGTCACCCGGGGCCCCTCCGGTTCGGACTAAATTTCACGTCCGAATGGATTCTCAAGTTCTTGGGTTCTCGGGTCTCTGAACACGTCACGGAGTTGTCGGCAAATTGTTTTTTTGCATTTCCCAGGGTTCCATTTGGGTCTGTCTTTTCTTTGGGCGGTACCCCTTTTCTTCGTGGGTTTTTAGGGAAGCCAAAGGAACACCCGCCATTTGGGGGGGGTACCCTAAAAAAGACGAGCCACCCATGTGTTGCCTTTTTTTTCTCACACTCGCAGTTATTTGATTGGCTGCCTGGAGCCCCGGAAGGCCATTTTTGTTCGGCCGGTGTGTGCCCGTGCGGTTGTTTTGTTGGGTCATTTGCCTTATTTGCCTGTATTTGTGCTCGTCTTTGGCCGTATACACCCCGTACTTTCGGGCAAAGGGATCTACATGTCGTCATTCTGGCAACATTGGTGTTGTTTTAGTTTTCTTAGCTGCGGCCTCGCCCACAAAAGGGAAAATGGAACCACACATTGAATTCCAGGGGTCACCCCAATCATTCGCCAATTCCTTTCTAGGGGGTGGAGATCTCTCAGTAACCACCGTGCGCAGAATCAAAGCTATTTGCTTTCCACAAAGGACGTGGGGTGAGTCCCCCGATTTTTGTGGTGATCCGAGATCCCCTCCTCGTCCCTTCCTTCCAAATGAACCATCGACAAAGCAGGAAACTTCAGGCTTTGCATTTTTGCCTACCCCAAGGTCAACATTTTACCCAGGGTGGTTGATATCCCTCGGTTTAAGCCTATTTTGGGGTTGTCAAAAAACGGAAACCCTGAAATGCACTGCTTTGTCTATGCTTCATTTGGAAGGGACGAGAAGGGGAATCTGGGATCCACCAATATCCGGGGACTACGGGAACTGCGACTGACCAAAGTCAAACGGGAAGTTACCTTCTCCCGCCTGGAGATTCACGTAGGGATCCAAACGGACTTTCGTTGATCTCGGCCAGCTCCTTGAGCTTGACCAAGCCCAGCCCGGCATGCGCATCAAAAAAATAATAATTCAGGATCAAAAAAAAATTAAATCAGGATCAACAAAAAATTAAACCGTTTTACAAGCACACACACGTAGGCCCCAGGGCCAACCGGGGGTGGCCAGTTAGCAAGTTAACAAGTTAGCAATCCTTCGGGGGGGGGGGAGGGCCAGTTAGCAAGTTAACAAGTTAGTAAAGTCGGAGGGGGGGAGGGGGGGTTAGCAAGTTAACAAGTTAGGGGGGAGGGCCAGTTAGCAAGTTAACAAGTTAGTGAAGTCGGTGGCGGGGGGGGGGGTTAGCAAGTTAACAAGTTAGCGAAGCAATGCTTCGGGGGGGAGGGCCAGTTAGCAAGTTAACAAGTTAACAAGTCAGTGAAGTCGGGGGGGGGGGGGTTAGCAAGTTAACAAGTTAGCAATCCTTCGGGGGGGAGGGCCAGTTAGCAAGTTCAGATATGATTCAATTTCGTTATGTTTTCATTTTCATTTCATTTCATTTCATTTCAGTTGAATTTCATTTCGCTTCTCACACACACATGCACACACACATGCGCACACACAGAAACACACACAAACACGCACACACACAAACACACACAAACACAAACACAAACACACACACGCACACACACACACACACAAACACACACACACAAACACACACAAACACACACACACACAAACACACACACAAACACACACACACACACAAACACACACACAAACACACACACACAAACACACACACACGAACACACACACACAAACACACACACACACAAACACACACAAACACACACAAACACACAAACAAACACAGACACACACACACACACACACGTAGACACATACATACACGCGTGCATACACATACATACGTACGTACATGCACACACATACGTACATTCACACAGACACACACACACACACATACATACAGACATCCATACGTACACGCATACATACATACGTACACACACACACACGCACGTACACACACACACGCACACACATACGTAGACACATGCATACATACAGACATACATACGTACGTACATACACACACATATACGTACATTCACACATACACATACATACATACATACAGACATACATACGTACACACACATACAGACATACGTACACACATACACACATACACACATACATACATACCTACATACATACATCCATCCATACATACATACATACACACATACATACACACATACATACATACACACATAGAAACACACACGTATGTATGTATAATCTATATATATAGATATTTGTACACACATACATGCGCAGTGAGGCTTTGCTGTGTTTGCCCTACCTACCAGCCTAGACCCTGCTGCAGGGCATCCATATTTTTCTGTCTTTCTTTCTTTCTTTCTGTCTGTCTGTCTGTCTTTCTTTTTTCTTTCTTTCTTTCTTTCTTGCTTGCTTTCTTTCTTTCTTGCTTGCTTTCTTTCTTTTTCTTTCTACCTACTACCTACTACCTACTATCTACTACCTACTACCTACTACCTACTACCTACTACCTAGTACCTAGTACTACCTACTACATACTACCTACTACCTACTACCTACTACCTACTACCTACCTACTACTACTACCTACTACCTACTACCTACTACCTACTACCTACTACCTACTACCTACTACTACTACTACTTCTACTACTACTACTTACTACTACTACTACTACTACTACTACTAACTACTACTACTACTACTACTACTACTTACTACTACTACTACTACTACTACTACTACTACTACTACTACTACTACTACTACTACTGCTACTACTACTACTACTACTACTACTACCTACTACTACTACTACTACTACTACTACTACTACTACTACCACTACTATTACTACTACTACTACTACTACTACTACTACTACTACTACTACTACTACTACTACTACTACTACTACTACTCTTCTACTACTACTACTACTACTACACTACTATACACTACTACTACTACTACTACTACGACTACTACTACTACTACTACTACCACTACTGTCACTACTACAACTACCACTACTACTACTACTACTACTACTACTACTGCTACTACTACTACTACTACAGAATTTAATTTTTTTTGATCCTGAATTAATTTTTTTTTGATCCCTTAGCCGCCCAGCCCCCTCCCCGAGGTGATATCCAGAGTTTCTGGGCCAACGTTTTCCCCGTGAAACATCCAGTCCTTGGCTTAAACGAAAAGGATGCTAGAAAAGATCCGAGTTCTAGGCTTCGAGTTGACAGTCAGTATGGATAGGCCAACGACGTGGGACACGGGGGGTGGTTCCTCAAAGATTGGAGGACTCCGTGTGAAGCCCTGTTAATGAACCACGGGTTTATTTGTCATGGGGCCCAACAAGGACATTGAGGAGTAACATCTTCTGTTGAAATCATCTTACGTTTGGTTACCTAACCACGGGTCAGGATCTGACTACATGGTCGGTTGGGGACATGAGCAAGATTCACCGCTTGACACCTGGGCACGGCACGGCATCTCAAGGCGCAACGCCGTCACTGAGAAGATGTCGAAGATCAGCGTGGGAGCATGCGCAGTGCTCAGTGAGGGACCAAACCCTCATTCAAGCCCGAAGCTCGTCATGATTACCATGGTGTTTGCCTATTTGAAAGCTAGCTCTCCTGGGCTGAAACAAGCGCACCATCCCATGCTTATGCGCACCATCCCACCATGCTGTCTAGTTTGTGGCTTCTTTGGTTCTGCCCATTTCTTCTGGGGGAAAGCAAAGAACGAAGTTGCTTGCTGACGGGGTTGGGAAGGCAATACGCTACAAGAGAGGGTAACAAATAGCATGCCAGAAGCCCATAGACAATGGACTCTGGAGTGTTGGTGCATGCTGTTTTGCTTGTGTATCGTGTTTTGTCATAGTTGGTGATTTGGATTGGTGGTTTGTTTTGCTGAATCCATGGTTCTTGTAGATGGTAAACATGGGAAGCCACCCCCAACCTCCAAACCGCTAACGTAAGCCACAACTTGGATGCACGATGACTGTTGTTTGGAGATGCTGAGGTCATATACCACTCCCTTAAGAGTCATATACTGCCCGAGTTTTCTTATGTATCCTCTCCGCGTGACTGGTGGTTTTTCTCAGGGTTTGCCTTTGAACCGACCTGAAGAGGGTACGCTCAAGAAACATACTCCCACATCTAGTTGCTCGCTCTTCGGTTTGTGGCAGCTGTCCAACTCGATTTGTGACCTGCGCGGTGTTGCGCGACGGCATTGCTGAAGCGTGTCCATGGTTCGCAGTGCTGTTTTGGTTCTTATGGTCATGAGCCCTCAACTGGCATCTACTCTCCCACTATTTTCTATGTTCGGGCAGACGAAACATGAAGTTTCGCTCTCCAGATGTGGGCCAAGGGGGGCTGGGAGGGGCCCCAAGAGCCCTTGAACCCAAGGGTTCGATTGACTCCCCGAGTCCAAATCGACTCAAGTGGGGAAGTCCAGGTGACCCAGAAAGTTCAGGCCATTCCAGGTGCTTCTATCTGGCACTGGTTTTACTTGGTGCAGAAAAGCCAACGTAGAAAGCTTTATGATCATTTCGGAACCCCAATAGGTTCTGGCTTCGACTTTCTAGCTCCAAGTTGGAGGGCATCCTTGAACATACCAGTTGTGACACCACTTTAATCACACCTTTTTGGCTTCTGAAACTAAGCATCGACTCGACCCTCCCCCCCGAAGAAGGCGAAGCCCTGTGAAGACCTGAGGCTTGTTGGAGGCTTCCGTGCTGCCGCCCTGATTCCCGATGCTATGTGGACAACTTGGGGTTTTAGGAGCTGCTCCTACAAATTGTCGTGGAACCCAAAAGGAGTGGCCTCTACAACTTGGTGATTGTTGAATTCCATGTCAATGTGTACAGGGGATTAATCGATTGTGTGATACCAAGGGAACCTTCTAACTGGAGAAAGTAGTCTGGGGATGGAATCCTACCTTGTTTTCAGTCAAGAATTCGATTTCCACTTTGGTATCACAAGGGCGGTTTTCCTCTGCTTGCACAGTGCTCCGACCAAGGAATTTGGCCAAATTCAGCGGATTCTCATTAACGAGATCCGGCTAATGTGTACTGTGCGCTTTGGTTTGTTGGTGTTCAAGGGGGTTGCCTTTCTTGACCATGTTTGAAAGCAAAGAATCGTCCAAAACCTGCACCCCTCTTTCGTGGCATGAGCATCCAGCGGCTGGAAACCCAGTGCTGCACATCCAGCGGGGTTTCGCCAAAGACCCCTCTTCCAAAAGGGTTTGATCCAACCTTCTGCGAACTTCTCCCTGGATTTGAGCTGTGGACAAAGGGGTTTTAGGGCCAAGAGAATCCCATTGAAAGTGACAAGCTAGCCAGGTAATTAGTCATTTATAGACCACTTTGTTATCAGGGAAAAGGTCATACAACCATGGCTGAGCCGCAAGGAACGACCGGGCATATGAAGGTTGGGGACAGTCCTTGCTGGTTCTCAGTAGGGAACGAGAGAATGACCCTATAAACCATCCCTTGTGGTTTCCCTTAAAGGGACTCCCCAAACGGTTCATTCCAACACCCGGACTCGGACTCGGTGATTCCCTACCTCTCGCACCAGCGAGATGCTCTCGGACTCGGGCCAGTTGCGCCGTGGCACCTTCGGCGACGCCAAGCGGCAGCTTCTGCAGAGGTGGCGTCGGGTGAACGCCCGCCCGAGCCTCGGGAGAGGCCATGTAGAGCGAGATAGTTATTCCACGCCACAGGCGACCCCTGTACCTCCTACAGAAGAAAAATGGAACGTGCTGTGGATGGACGCAAATCATTTCGCACCTAAGAAACCCTGGAATGACTCGATTCCAACAAGCAAAATGGCTTCCCATGGTTTCAAAGTGATTCGAATTGGAGTCCATCCACGGTACTGTATGGAACCCACAAAACAATCAGGGACCTGCCTTTTGGGGTTCCATGTCAATTCTTGCAGGGGAGGAAGGCAACGTGCGGCGGGTGAAAAAGAAAAACATGAGACCGAACCTTCCGGTGTCCTTCCCGTTGCTATTTGCCGGGGTTACTCGCCTTCTCGACCTGCAGAGCTTCTGCGTTTGCCGTGGTTTTACGGGGGGGGGGAGAAAACCCCTGCTTGCAGGTATTCTCCAACGCGGGAGTTCCCTGAAACTCAACCTTCATTCAAATTCAAGGGTCATGCTTGTAAGGCCTCCATGAGTGAGCAGCCATAAGTTGAAACTTTATGCTTTTTGGCTGCCATGAGTGAGTCACACCCCACGGGCACGAAGTGCTCGGGCAGTACGCATGCCGCGAGCGCGTGCAGTGCACGCCAAAACCGCGCACACTGTACAAGTAAATGGTATGCACCACATCATGTTGAGAAAAAAAAGTAAGTTTGTGCCAACACTAGCCATTATTTTCAGCATTGCCTGTGTCAGGTAACCCTTAGTTGGTGGTTTGGGGACTTGAGCCCCTGGTTCTCGCAGAGGGTAAATGGGAAACCCCTCCTTAACCACCAAACCACCTGTACGAACACCTCCGCAACTGCTACTCTTTTAGACGTACAGCCGTATGTACAGCCGTGCGTACACCAGTGGACCGTGCATGCATTGATGCTTCGCTTTTGAAGGCATCAATGCATACTCTTGACTTTAGATCAGTTTGAGAGAAGCATTGGCAGACCTTACATTTGTGTTTTTGCAGCTGTTTTGTTGTGGCATCATTCCCTGTCTGGCCCAGTTTGCAGGCAGCCCTTTCTGTCCTTGAAAATAACAGCAGAGAACTGGGTTCGTCCTAGGATTAGGGGCCCCAAAAACATGGATTTCAGTCTTCCTTTTGGTTTCCCTTTTTAAACCAACCAAGAACGGGATACCTTCAAACAAAGGTACCCTCACCAAAGTCTGATTCTCCTTCTGGTTTTAAACCCACCAAGAAATGAGTACCTTCAACAAAACGGTACACCCACCAGACGTCTGGTTTCCCTTTGAAAACCAACCAAACAACAAGTGCCTTCAACAAAAATGGTACCCTCACCAAACCCAAAGTCTGGTTCTCCTTTTGGTTTCCTTTTCAACCCGCCAAAAAACCCACCAAAAACTGAGTGCCTTCGAGGAAAAAAACAAGTACCCTAATTAGACGTCTGGTTTCCCTTCAAAACCCCAAATTTTGGCTCCCAACTGGGGTCCCCCTGGGCCATTCCTCAGGCGCGTCCCTGGAGCTATGCAAGAAGCACGAGGAGGACCAGCCGCTTGGCCCAAAACGCCGTGTGCCACGCCTCCCCAGAATTCCGGTTGGCCATACTCTTGGTTGAGATGTTTGGTTTACTTGCATTATTTTGGGCATTCTGGGGCAGAATTAGTTTTTTTGTTTGTTTTTCCTTTTTTGGGGTCCCTTTGTTTTCCACTAAGCTGGCAAAAAAAGGCTTTTTTTTGCTGAGGTCCTAGTTCCAGCCTACTCTTTTGGGTTTTAGAGCGACACCAAGAGGAAGCCAAGCAGTTTTGGGTGTTTTAAACAAGAGGGCAGCCAGCCGGTTTGGTTTGGGGGTCCCCGAATTCCGAGACCTCAAAAAGGAGAAGAAGTTGAGGAGGTTCCCCTAGGTGCGCAAGTACTAAAGGCGTGCAACTCTTTCATGGCCGCACCTTGGCCCAACTTGGTAGTTCCGAACTGGCGAAGCGTCGGGTGTCCACTTGGCTTGTTGCGGGTGTTCGGTCGGTTTAGCGGTGGTTTTCCCGCATAGCCGCTGAGAGTTGAGCGTTTGGGGATCCGAGGACGGCCCAGAGAGTCCACTGAACCGGGTGACCCCAACAAAAGGCCTTCTGGAAATGGGGGGGGGTGCTTGCATCACTGATCAAATCCACTCCGATCGATTCGCACCAGACGGCAGGTGGTTTGTCCCCACAAGGGGTTTTCTCCAAGTGGTGTGAAGTGGGTTTCGTCCACCCACGGCAATTTGGAACTTTCCTGGGACGTTCCATGCCATGCGGAAATCGAATTGTTCATAGTTATACCCTCGAACCCTGTACCCCTCCCAGGGTAGGCGGACAACCCTCTTGTCTGAGACCTTCAAAAAAGAGCGGAAGAGTCTCGGCCGCCCAGAATGTGACCTTCCCCAGTGGGGCAAAAACACGGCTTCCATTTGCACTTGTGGGTCGCAACCGGTGGCAACCCAACTTGCACGCATCTTTCGGTAGGCTGACGAGGATGCATGAGCTCGACGGGAAGGCTCGCTCCCTCGCTCCCTCGCTCCCGCAGGGCCGTGGAGGTGGAACCTCGGACCTAAGCAGCAGCCCTGCTTGATTTGGGATTGGGGGATGTCCTCTTTCTGGGGGTCACTGCTGGACCTAGAAATGGGGTGAGCTTATCCTAGATAGTTGACACTCTTGGCACCGGTGATGTTGAAAGCACTCCAAGCCTGCCTTTTCTTGACCCACCGGAGGTTAGGTATCACACTGCTTGGACTCAACACCAAAAGGGGTTCCGTTGTTCTACCAGTTTGACCACTGGGTTGCATTGAATTTCATAGTACTACTACTACCTGTAAGAATCGTTGCAAGGCTTGAATTGTGATGACAGCTGCAGGGTAGTGGAAAGCACCGGCCCTGTCCAGCTTTCCACGGTCTAAGTAAAAAGGAACGGGGTTGCCTGCTTTGCAATTTTGTGTCTTGAGAAGTGAAGAGGTGTCCGGTTTTGCCCCGCCTTCTCTCCAACGCGTTTCGGGTTTCGGGATTCGGGTCAGTTTCCAATGAGCTGGCCTTCCAGGTGCCTCGGGGTGTCACTCGTTGGGATGGCCGGGAACCAAAGGGTTACCGACCCCCACCGACTAAAACATGGGGCCAGTTTGCGCAGATTTCGGTAAGAGCCGACTTTGCTTTTGGAAAGGGGCCAAATGTGCACTTCCGTGGTTTTTGCTTCACCCCACAAAATGGAGATTCATCTTTAAAGCCACCCCATTTAAAAAAAAAAAAAAAAAAAAAAAAAAAAAAAACAATAAACAAACACAGCAACACCCATCTCCGTCAGAGAATGTGACTAGATGAGACTTACGCGGCATCAGCTTGAGACGAATCCAGGGAAAAGCTTGACACCTTTGGCTTCCGCCGGGCAGAGGTAGCACCTGGGTCTCCATTCCGTGCCAACACAAGTCTACCCATTTCGCTCAAAAGCGTCACTCATGAGATTGTCGATGCTCCGTGCGGAGTTGTCCGCATCATTCTGGCGACTTTCGGCTGTCAGGCAGAAGCCGAATAAAAGCACAAGTGCAGCGCATGCTTTGCGGTTGACGGGTATCGTTTTGGGAAAGTAGTCCATGGTAGTCCCCTTGAGGTACTATAGTCGATGTGTTATTCGCACCACACATTGATGACCATGTGAATCTTCTCTTTCCAAGGTCTAGTGCTGCACACCTACATAGGGCTTTATAAAAAAAAAAAAAAAAACAAGCAAAGAAAGCACAATGCAAGTGATATTTAACAACAGCGGTATGCAGAACTTGACAAGCGCAGCTCGTGTATTTTTGGTTCAACCGATCGGATCGCCATGGCAGCGAAAGCAGAGTTTGGCAAGACGGCGGATGGGAAGACGGTCACTGAGTACACGTTGACCAATGGCAAGATGAAGGCCAGCGGTCGGGTGCATCACCTCCGCCAAGTTACCCGCCCTCCAAAAAAAGTCAACGCTGACGATCGGAGGGGATTGAAAGACTAGGTTCCTTTTGGGGAAGCCCCTTGTCCACTTCCATGCTTGTTGGACACACGCCTACATATTAACACGGAATTCAAAAAACCTTCCTTTGTGTGCTTTTTGGGGTTCCTTCCATTTCAATCTCACTTCCCGAGTTCCTGGACTTTAAAGCTTTTTGGGAAGACCATTTTGGTGGGAAATAAGAATTGGGTGCGGAAGTGAGTAAACCTGGCTGAGTTTCCATATTTGTTTCGGAACCTTGGCACAGGATCAGTGATCGGCCGTTTTCCCCATCGGTTTTCTCAATCCTCCTGAGCGGATGGGCTCCTTGTGTTTTGCTTTCTTTTCGGTGTGTTTCCCTAAACGTGCCAGAGGTGTTCACGCAACTGGCAGATTGTTGGTCATGGGAGATGTGCCCCATCTTCTCTGATTTTGCCGCGGCACTAGCCACCATACTCTTGACTAGCGAGGGTATACCCCTCTTGCAAAGGCGCAGATCCCAGGAACGAGATTCGGATGTGAGAGCAGAAGGAAGCCGACCCGTTGCAAGGAGGTTCAAGTTTTTGACCGCTGTGTTGCACCCAGGCTTGTGGGATCAAGGGATTTCTCCCCACTTCTGTGATACAAGGGAATCTTCCCCTTTATACTGACAAAATAGTCTTTGGGGTTAGGCCCTTTCTGTTGTATCACAGTGGATTCCATTCCCCACAGCCCTGGTTGCACCCATGTGGATTCCATTGAGTTCGGTGAAAGCTGTTCTTGCCGATCTCCGGAAAGTGGGACGCCGGGGCCCTTCTAGGAAATTGGTCCTCCAGGTATTGAGGGTACGCCTACTGGCTCGGCATGTTTTGGAGTGCGAAGGGAGATTGAAGGCACACCAAATGGACCAAAAGCACATCAGACGTCTGTGATGAAGATGAGAACCAAAGAGCAGACATGATGTAATCAATTGAGAGAGGCCATTTTGTGAGTTCTCTTTTGGCTCTTTTTTAGACAAGCTTTTGGGGGGATAAATAAATGATTAGTGAGAGGCCATTGTGTCAGCTCCATTTTGTTGTCTCCGTCTTTTTTTTCTCGACTTGTTTCAACGCCTTTGGGGGGGGTGGGACCCTCCGGAGAAAGGCGATGGTTTCCTCCCCTTGGCCCCACCTGCCCATTGGCAGCGGCATCCCCCCCTCCCCCCTCCCCGCCGCGCGGCCGGCGTCGTGATCAGGTTCGGGTGATGGACTTGGGCGCCACGATCACTTCCATTCAGGTGCCGGAGACTCTGTTTTAGTCTTTCAGTGCCCCCTTTTTGGGGGGATGCTTTCAAGGAAAGCCAAAGGGACGGTGGATGCCAAAAATACTGCAAGTAAACCAAACATCTCAACCACAAAACCATAGTAAACTACAGCAAATTAGAAGGTTTGCTTGTTTCGTTACTTGCAATATTTCGGGCATCCACCGGAACACCAAAATCCATTGCAAAGGTCCCCGATTTACCCGCAAGGGAACACCAAACTATTTTCTGACACATGCCCAAATCATGATGAGGTTATGAGATCTATGGCAACATTTTGTCCATGGACACAACGATCTTCGAGTTTGGTTGCTCAAAATTGACACCAAGCGTGTATTCTGTTTGGTTCCGCTTGTAGTGGTGTTCCACTGCGGACGACGGATTAGACCCGCGGATCCACAATTTGAACAAGCCAGCAAAGGGATGCTTCCTTACTAGGGTTGGCTGCCAATGGTGAGAAAAGAAGCCCCCCGGTTGAATGATTGGTGTAACATGCTTGGCCCAACCCTCACCCTTGCCACTTGCGAGCTTCGGGCGTCGGGAATGCCCGAAGGATTATCCACGAACTCTAAAACCAAGAGTATGCCCACATGCAAATGAAGTACTACGAAGCCAGAACGCTTTAGGGGGAGCCCACGTATCGTGCCCTTTTGTAGATTTATCAGAACAGCCATTTGTTTCCGAAAAGTCCAAGATCTTGGATGGATTGCGCTATCGAGCTGCTTTGTTTGGTAGGGTCCTCTTCGGGAAATCCCAGTTAAGACGTTTATCCATTCGAAATCTCTAGTTAATCGTTGAATTGTCCAACCCGTGTTGATATTAGTCCGTACCAAAGATAATTTAACTACCTAGGAATTGAGACTGACCAATCGAGTTGAGAGGTTATACCGTGCAAACTCTAGGCTGGACTTGTCCCTTCCAAAGGAACCGGCTTTTGGACAGCCCCGGGCTCGATATCTGCACAAGCCATGGATAACCAGAACACGCAAAGGTACTCCGGCCGCCAAGCCAGTTCCCAAAAAAGCCCCTCTCCTGCACATAAGCCTGGTTTCTCCCATGATCATAAGGTCATTCCGTTTCCCCCCAACAAGCCCATTCTACTTGTTGGTCAGGTACGTACGCCTCAATTGGTGCAAGATCAAACGACAGTATTTTCGGTTTAGCTCGGTCATTGAACCGACATCAAGGGAATTTGTTCAAACCAAAGTCTCTGAATTCGGAATTGTTTAGACCCTTGCCCCCCTGCAAAGGGAATCCAATTCAAGTCTTTATTTTGACCATTTTGGGGGGTAGCTGAGCTCTTTGGCTCCCTTGATCAGGATGTTGGCCATCCCGAGCTCCTTGGATCCGGAATCTATGGCCAGGTAATATATAAATGTAGCACCTTCGATGCTCCGCCCTAAACCTCGGATGAACATCTGTTCTACCATAGGTTGGTGAATCAGTGACCAAGCTAAACGGAACATACTTTGGCTTGACAATTCCCTTGATGTCGTTTCGATGGCCAAGTTAAACCAAATATACTCGTTTAGTTGGATACTTCCCTTTTGGTTCATTAAATCCCATCCTCCGTGGAATCGAATCTTTCTTTTGATTCGACTGCGACAGGTCCCGGATGCCAAGGGCGAGGTGGGAGAGGTGTGCCTGGGCTATGATGAGCTCGAGCCCTACCTGGACTGGACCAAGAACCCCTACTTCGGAGCAGCTCCTGGGGAGCAATGAGCAGAACTTAGACATATCTATATATATGTATATATTTATATATATATATATATGTAAATATTATTTATAGGTATATACCCTCCACCAATTAACCGCAGGAACCTGCCAGGGGGCCCGGTCCCTTTAACCGGAAAATTGTCTTCCAGGACCCGGTGTCAGGTTCCATGTTATCGCTTCATTGTTTTATATGTTTTTTTCTTCAATCAACCATATCTACCATATTATATATATATATATGGTCAACCTCGCGTGAACTACCGTTTTCTCTTTGAAGTCCTTTTGATTTGTGTCTACATACACAACTGGCACACTTTAGACACTACATATACATGTTGCACATGCTACCATCCAGCTCCCATGCAAGAGAGCATAAGGAACATACAGGATGGATGGATGAATGCATGCCTGGATGTATGGATGGGATCAAGTGAATGGATGTACATATAGAACCATAAATTCACATAAAACACATGAAGAGTACACGGATCATCCATTCATAAGCAGCTCATAGATCAGCGACTTGTTGGCTGCGAGTTCAGCC